GGAGATGCTGGCTTCTTTAGAGTCCTATCCTGGGGTGGGGGTAATGCATCCCCCAGGGCAGTATGGAAGCTGCAGACCACCCAGGGAAGCCTGCCCTGCCTCTCCTGCTCTCACAGCTTATTAATTTAAGGAGGGTGAGTTTGTGGCAGTAGCAACATGGAGTTTGGGGGCAGTGGTGATGGCAAGAATCTACCTAAGTGGAGGCAATCTCTGCTTTCTGTCACCTGAAATGTTTTTCTGGGTCCTCCCCCGAATCATTCAGCCATTGACATTGGCAACAAAGTCCAGTTGCACAGCTGTTACCCACAGTGCCAAAGTGGCCAGTGGAGCTGACAGGAAAAGACAATGGTGGATAATTCTTACACATCTCTTGCCTTCCCATTAACTTTTTTTTTAAAATTTTTTATTGTTGGTTGCTCAAAACATTACATAGTTCTTGATATATCATATTTCACACTTTGATTCAAGTGGGTTATGAACTCCCATTTTTACCTCGTATACAGATTGCAGAATCACATCAGTTACCCTTCCCATTAACTTTATTTCAGTCCTCTGTGAAAGGAAAGCTGGGCAAAGTCTTCACCCTTGTAAGTCTGTGGCATTCATTTCACCCCCAATTCATCCTGGGTTCCTGTAAGCTTGTTCAATGTCTTCACTGATCTGTGCCGCCAGGGTTGGATGAAGCAGCTATCGTACCTGAGGCTTGCATCCTTTTTCTTCCACACAGGCCGTCCATTGCTGCCCCTGAAGGGATAGGTGTTCCCTAAGAAGAGAGGCCACTGAGTTAGGCTTCAGCTATCCCTGCTTTGCTGAGAGCTCCTAATAACACTGTTGGCAGCAGGGCTCTGCCGACGACACAGGAAGGAAGAGATGTTCCTTTAATGATGGAAAAATATTAGAGCACAATGCCCTTAAAATAGATTGTGTGTGCCTAGCCTTTATTTTCAGGACTTTATTGTTGTGACCATCTCCCCTGGGAAATGCTGCAGGAGGCTTTTTCCCTTCAGTGAAGCAAAGTAATTGTGTAACCTGAGGTGTCCCTGAGAGAGCTGCGGGGATGATGTCAATACGCAGGTTTTGGAAACATGACTACATTTTTATGTTGATCAGTGCTTCAGCAGGTCCCACCTTTCCAAACTCCAATTTCTGAAAAATGGAAATGATCGTGTATGTGCTGCCCATCTACAAGGTTGCTATGAGGATCAAAGAATATAATGTTCAAGATTGTTTGCACACTGTAAAATCTGACAAATGCAAAGTGTCACTGTTATTGACAGTTGGAAGCCCTGCCTTCTCCTCCGGGTGTTGGTACCATTCCACTTTTCATTTTATTTTTTAATGAAATAAACTTTAGTTCTATTATTGAAATTCATACTTTTGTATTGACTCAGGATGAGATCTGCAGAACATTCAGTGTCCACACTAGAGAACTGATGCTAAGTTTGGCTGAGATCAGCACATCCTCTCATCTCCCCATTACATGGTCAGGGCAGTTGTCATGATGCCCAAGAAGCAAAGAACGGATCCCAGATTGATTTTTCATTATGTTCCTCATTCCAGAAACCCTTGGGAATCCTGTCTGAATTTCTTTAGTGTTAGTATCCTGGCATTTGGCCTAACATTCAATGTCACCTTCATTTTTTTTTTCTTTCTGAAAACCATCAGTGAAGAAAATCCTTCTGATTTCATGGTTACCTACTTTTCTCTTTCATTAGCTTCCCTTTATTTGGACCATTATTAGCCCATTAGCAGGTCCAATGACTTGGCTGGGGACAATGTTAATGATTCTCAAGAGATCCTTCTATCTGATGGTGATTAGAAAGAATAAGAAAGTTGTTAGCCACCTCAGCCAGCATCAATGGGCTGTAAAGTTCACGCTCCTTTGCAAATGCCTTGGTTTCCATTTCTGGTCACAGTTTACTTTTGACCAGAAAATGAATGGGTGGAACCCATGCTTCATCAGGAAAAGGGTGACAGTGCTTCTAAAAGGAACCACCTTCAGCAGACATGGGTTCTGACCTTTGTGACATGTTTGGTATGAGGCACCAAGAGAAAAAAAAAAGTTATAGTATTTGTGTGTGCAAATGTGTGTGTGAATGTGTTTGCAGAGTAGAATGGAGACCTTCTTTCCCTCACCACTCTGCTGCCTCCCTTAATTTGCTCAAATTTCATTTCTATTTACTAGGGGACATCTGTGCATTTTTCTGCCCAGCCACATTTAATGCACATCAGTTCAGCCCTAACCCTCTGTTGAGGTCAACTCTGTTCCTCCTCCAGGCATCTCCAGAGGTGGGGGAGGGGTTAGAGCTAAGAATACACAATACTCTAAATGGAATATTGAAGATCCCCATCTGTCTGGCAGTCCCAATCAATAAATATGACCCCTTTCATCCACTTCTGTACGAGAGACACGTTACCACCTGGTTTTAAGACAAGCATGAGATGTGGGCTTCTATGGGTTACTGAGTCCAAATACCCAGCTGTCATAATGCTAAGCCAGGAAAAGGATTAGGCTCTTAATCATGTTATTTTGTTACTAAAGGGTTCTTTTAAATCCCCCATACCCCTTTCCCTCAAGCAAAATGTACCAGTGTTTGAAATTGGAGGTGCCTTTCTGACACTTTGACTTGCTGAATGATTTTTCTTTCTTTCTTTTTTTAATGACTTTTGTTAAGGCTCTAAAACCTAGGACCATGGATCTGGGGTGTCTTTTTTGGCTTTAGCCAAATCCCAATACTGAACAAGGACACCAGTTTGTGTTTACCTGACACGCCTCTCCAAGGAAGCAGTCAGATCCAAGATATCAGCTCTGGACCCATAAAGCAACCCGCTTAGTCTGCATTGCTTTAGCCACTCCTAAGGGACAACAGTCTAAAGACACACTGCAGAAATCTTCAACCCTTTAACAAGCACATAACCAAGCAGATAACAATTAAAAATCTGAGTTGTCTGATGCATTTGTGTGTGTGTGTGTGTGTGTTTCTGCATGGGGACATCTCTGGGGCCCCAGCTAAAATACTAGCTACACCTGTTTAGCCTCTGTCACCTCGTCACCAAACCAGAACAAAGCTGACTGCAGCAAAAAGTATTAGGTTGCATGGCAGGGACTGTTTGCTTTAAATCCCTGTGATCTGAGCTTCTGGCCGCTCTTCCCTCGGCTCAGATAAAGAACTCTGGCAGATATAGCTGGGGCAGGGTAATGTGTGTGTGTGTGTGGAGAGCTTCCGTGAGAAAGGATGATGAGAGGGAGATACTGTGTGGTCTGGAGTCAAGTCTATCAGGCTAGTATTGCTCTGGATGCATGGGATAAGAGGCAATGAATTTGTCTTCTGCTTAGTTGCTCTCCACTAGCCTGGAGATCAGGAGCAAATCCTTCACTGACTCAGTGTACCTCAGCTCCGCCCACCCTTTTTCGGTCAGACTAGCTGTTAACCACCCTCTGAGTTCTACCATAGGACACTCGGATACAACTGGGTAGAGCAATCTGTAAGTCATAGAAGGAGAGGGAAACTTTTCTATCTGGCAAAAGAAGAGACAATCACTGAGCTGATTCAGTGTGTTTCCTAGAGAATCTGAAATTGGATGTGGGCTTTCCACTTGTGTTGTTCCTACCAAGTTGGCATGTCATTTGGCACAATGCCCAGCCTGTCTGCAGCCTCTCCCCGGACCAATCCATTATCCACATTACTGCCAGGTAGATTTCTAAGGCACTGACACACGTGCTTGCTGCTTCACACACTCACAGCAGGGCAGTGCTCCAGTGCCCAGCAGCTCAAACCCCACATGTGAGAACCAGGCTACTCCTGGTCTTCCCTATCCCCCTCCGTGGCTGCACGATCTCACAGGCCCCGTGTGAGACCTCTGAGTTTTGTTTCTAAGCAGCACACTTGGTGTTTTTGCACTAGATCTCTCCAGCTCCTTGGTTAGGTCTCTAAACAACTCACACAAGAACCAGCTCAAAAGTTCCACATGACCTTAACCTTTGGGGAGCCCCCTCAACAACACTGATGCTTACATCCAAATGGTAATTACAGGGGCCATGTCAGTCTGTCTTTGTAAATGAGAAGGCAGGAACTATACCTAGTCAACTCAGTGCTGAACAGTGATATACCTCACAAATACAATTGGAAAATGATTTGGGAAAAGATGGCTAGGCCAGATCAAGAGACCACTGTAGGCCCCAACCTGCAGCTTCTCACACTCAAACTGACCTAAAGCATATATATATATATATAAAAAGTACCCTGGAAGGTCAAGAGTAAAATACCTTAGCTGAGGACTTATTTTAAACAACGGTTTTTAAAAATACCCCAGAGGGGAAATCTGATCCAGGCATTTCATATTCTGCAAAATAAAAATCAAGTACTGCATCCCAATATACCTCCAACCGTGTCTTCTGAGTTATAAGAAAGAAATGCTAACTAGGAGTAAAATCTAGCACCCTTCACCTTATTAATATGTAAAAAGGCTGAAGTCACATCTGTGCAAGGATCTATTTTTAGTGGACCCTACATACTAAAATCCTAGCCTTGATCTCTTAAACTATCAAGCCTACCATAAATGTTTGATGATGAACAAGCCCATAAAAAGAAAACACATAAAATGAATAGAGGGAATCAATGCGTGCTCTGCCTTTTAATTACCGGTGGCGTCTGCTAAAATTCTGCTCCAGGCTGGGTGCAGGCATAGAAAACACATCGATAATTTGGGTGGGGGGAGCAGGGTGTGGATATTTCAAACAGATATGTCTAAGGGCATAGTTATTTATGCTGGGGAAACTAAATAGAGATAGAGGAAGAGGAGAATCATGCCGAAAATGAGCAGAGGGTGGGGAAAGCGGCTATAAAAAGATAAAAAATATATATATTTAAGAAATTAAAAAAATAAGCACCCAAGACGCAAAAAATAATGTAGAACAGTCTGGTTTTATTACTTTTCAGTAATAAAGAGCCTTTTTCTTGCTTTTTTTTCCCCTTTTTTTTCTTTTCTTTTCTTTTTTTTTTTCTTTTTACAACATACATTAAGTCGTGAATCAGATGTTAGGGGATGTGGAGATGGAAGGAAAATTGGTGACATCACAATATTTTTACAACTTTACAACAAATATAAATCTGAGTTTTTGCATCTACAGTGTCTAGCAAGGGTGGGAAGCAAAGGCACACTCAGGTTTATGGACCCTCCCCCCACACGCAATGGGGAAAAGAAAGGGGGCAACACTTCAATGCAGAAGACCAGCTCAATACATGTGGGCATAGTAGGGGTAACACCGCAAGTGACAGGTGGTGGGATGCAGGGATATGGGACGTGTAAGTTTTGACACAGGTCTCCTTAGCACAGCGGAGACAATGATGCCCGCAGACACCGGCATTCGGTGGTGCTCAAGTCGACGAGTGGTGGGCACGACACTGTCAATACTCTTGGGAGTCAAACACGAGGGTGAAGGTAGCAGGGTGACACACACCCATCACCTCCCTAACTTCTGCATTTTTTGAAGAAAAGGGAGAAAACAGTATCTTGATTTCCAGGCAAGTCTTCCAGAAATCATGGGTTCAGGGTACAGAGTTCACAGAATGTGAACAAGGACTCCACTAAAAAACAAAACAAAACAATAGCTACAACCGACCCCAAACAACAACCAAACCTGGAGGAACTCTGGGAGTCAAGGGCTGTGCTCGAACCCGCAGCGACACTCAGATCTGACTGTGGAGCCACTGCGTTCCCCTAACCAACTCAGTCTTTCTCTGCAAGTTTCTTAAAAATTTTCAAAGACAAAACTAAACCCAGAAGATCAAACTAGAAATTAAAAGGGACAAGAAGACCACCAAATATACTGTTTAACTTTTTTTTTTTTAAAACAAACAAACAAACAAAAACACTAATAACTGACAACAATGCTTACGGTTTACAGTATGTTGACAATTCTTTTGTTCATGATAGAGTAAACAGAAGTCTCTTCTGTGTGCTTGAACGAAATGAAAACCATGGGGAGAGACACACAGGCCATCCCCTCCCAACCTTCTAGAAACAATAACAAAATGATAAAGAAATTTTAAAATAACTGAAAATACTTTGCCCCAGTCAATGTGTTTGCAGCATCCATTGTGGTTGGCCTCATACTTCAAGTTACTCTTTAATCACAGCAGGGACCAGCCTGCCTGCATCTATTTCCACGTCGTTGCTTTGTGTGCTGTGTACGTGCAGCACAGCTTGGAGACTCCTCCCAGGTGCCTGCCCAATGGCACACAGTGTATTCTCCAGCCAGTGGACACAGCAGAATGAGGACTGGGACATTAGTCCCTTTTCTGCTGCCTAATGAGGATGTCACCATATTGAAATGATCTGAGAATATAAGGGAAGCAGGGGCTCTGGGATTTGCCACCCATGACACTGGGGTCCATGCTTGGCAGCACAGCCAAAGGGTGGTTCGAGTTGGCACGACTAGAAGGCAGTGTGAATCAGAGGGTGTATGCCACCCAGCGCTCCCAGGCTGCGGCGTCTTTACGACCTTCGCCGCTGTGTTCTTCTTCCATCTGCTTGACTCCAATCCCCCAGAGGGCTGGAGTGGGGGTCGTGGGGAGGGTTAAATAAATATCTGCATTTATTTCAAAAGGAAGAAAAAATTGATCATATGACAGTTTACAGGTGTACACAACTCAGGGTGTAAGGCACAAATTTACATGTGGAAAACAGGCTATTCACAGATGTAACCCCACGAAAAACCCGTGTGATCAAACCATTAATTTATGCAAGGTAGCAGCCAGCATATTAATTAGTTCACACCGATTGTGGATTTCGCTTTGCTGTCTCACATGCAAGGTGAAATGAGATGGCGGATCTCAAGCTGGTGCCTTCGCAGAAAGTGGGGACCACTGACAAGAGCCACTTCGGCAGCAATGGGACATGATGTGCCATTCTAGAAGTTTCTCTCCTGGTTGCTTCAGAAGTTAGGATTTGGAAGGACTATGAAACTAATGGATTTTTTTTTTTTTTTTGCATGTTATGGTCAGAAACCTGACCATCAAATTAACTGGTAGACTTAAATAAATATTCCCCTCTTAATGCTTTCCTTTAGCTACAGACCAGACAGTCCAAACACAAAGCTCAGAATTCCAGCTCCAACTTATTTACTCAGTGAATTTATTGTAAAAATAAAGAAACTCAATTATTCCAGTTAATGGATTTCACGTTAAATAGTTTTAACTTTCAGTGGGCTTCAGAAGAGCTGTTCATAGGATGATATATGGAAGAGTCCTTTCCTTAAGGAAAAAAAAAAGAGTAGAACAATAAATAAAGAGTTACTTGCGTTAACGGTCACGTTATTTCATTAAAAGAGAGGAGCAGAAATCTATGACATAGTTGCCCAACATGGCATTTATCGGCTATAACAGAAAAGCTGTAACACTGGTGGGCATTTCACAGTATCTGCGCATAGTAAACTTCTGCCATTGTTAAAGTCTGAGTTAGAATTATCAATGAATTCTTTATATATATATTTTTTTAATTTTCATGATTTTTAAAAAAAATGTATTTGTGTTTTTGCAGTTTGGAACGCTAGCCCAGTTTGGCAACGTCCCGTGCAGTCATGGACACCATGTTGTGGCTGCTGTTCAACTGTGTGTGTGTGTGTCTGTGTGTTGTTGTGTGTGCATGTGCATGTGTGCATGGGGGGGTGGGTGGGTATGTGCTTTTGGCTCATGTTTGTGATGAAAACTGAAGTCTTTTGTGGGTCCAACCTGCTGTAGGGTGTGCGGGAGGGTGAAGGAAGAGAATGGAGGTGAGTCCCACTGTTGCGAACCTTCACCAAACCACATGGCCCGATTGAGAGTACCCCTGTGTCCCAGAGGAGGACCCAGCTAGCGTCCTCAGTTCTGCCGTGGGCCATCTTGGTCTGGTGGATACTCCAGGCAGTTGAGAACCTTGCTGAGCTGAGCGGGCGCTCGCCTTGCCTGCTGGTTCGACTCCTGACCCCCTCCCCCTGGATTATGTACACGCATCATTGGGCTTCATGGATGTGGAAAGGGGAGCAAAGGAGGGTTTGGGAGGTACGTCTGGCTTTAGCGAGGGAGTACGCTTCAGCCCCGACCTCGTTAGTGAATTGTAGGTGTTGAGGCTGGGCTGCCTCGAAACAGTCACGGCCTGGCCCGATGCCTGGGAGCTGTGCACCTGGATAGAGTCCACCCTCTGTGGGGCAGGCGGCGGGTTGTCCCCCCTGCCAAAGCTCTGGTTTCTGGAGAGGTGAGAGGAATTGGAGGAGTTAGTATTGTTTCTTTTGAGAGTGGTGGCCTGGTGGCTTCTCGTGAGCGAGTTCGTGGGGTAGCTCCTTTTATAGTCAACCCCGTAGGAAGAGGAGTGGTGCATTTCCAGTCGCTTGCTCAGGCCGTTCTGGGACAGGGAGCCTCCCGGAGGGCCCAGGGAGGCCTCGCGCTGTGGGACCTTGGGGGGCAGGCTGTCTGGGTCCTCCACGAGGCTCACCCCATGGTTGGGACTCTTGCTGCTGAGATGATCTTTGATGGTCTTGTACTCCAGGGTGGCGGCCTGGTCCTCCAGTGCCATGTGGGCCACCTCGCTCAGTTTGGGCTGGTCCACGTACTCATGCTGGTAGCCCTGCTGTGTGATGGGCAGGACCACCACACTGGGGATGTGGCTGGGGGAGGCCCGGAGGGGCAGGTCCGTGGGAATCACAGGGGAGCCCATAGGGGGCATGTCCTTTGTGCAGGCATTGATGAGGTTCTGGTTCCTCTCCCACTCCCTGCTGCCACGGCTGGGCTTCCGCTTCTGCTGCAGTGTTGGGGTGGACTCTGGGGTGGGCAAGGCCGTAAGGTCCAAGTGATGCTGGTCAGCCTTAATGAGCATCTTGGCGGTGTTGCTGGGAGTGGCAAGCTTGCCGTTGTGCATGAGCGGCGTGAGGATGGCCTCTGGTTTGGGGTCTTTGGACTGGGTGTCCCCAAAGAGGCCACTGAGCTTGGTGACACTGCTCATGGATCCCCTGCGTGAGTGAGCGAGCTCCTTCTCCTTGCGCTGCACCACAGCCACATCCTTGCGCCGGTGATCACAGACACAGTACACGATGATGCCAGAGAAGACGGCCCCCATGACAAAAGCCAGAATGACTGCAATGGCCAAGAGGGTGACAGGAACGAGCTGATCATGGCCTTTGAGGTAACTTTCCCGAATCACTCCTGCAATAGACATCACACATGGTGTTAAGAAACGAAAACACAGGCGAGGCTTACCATTGCTTGGCACTCACCCTGTTAATTAATAACAGTAATAAGTGACAGCGGCACCTCTGTGTAACTTGTCTTCAGGGTGCAGCTTGCCAGACATTCATCAATTAACCCCTCCCACACACACACATTGTGAAGTGTGCAAATCAACTTCATTTGTTGCCGCCTTTGTGTTTTTTATTCTCTCCAGTACATGCTTCTTCTAATTAGCTTCATTCCATAGAACGTGACAAGTTTGGGCTTTCAGAATTTACTTATGTCTCTCCCTTTTCATCTCTTATCAGTCTTCCCCTATAGAATTAGGATAACTGAGGTATTTTGAGTCTGGAGGAAGAGGGATGCATATTAAATGAACAAGTCACAGAACAATGCCAGCGTCCAGTTTTCTCATGACTGCCTCGTAGCACCAAGGCCTCTATCTGGAGCAAACTATGTTTGCTTTTCAAGCAACTAGAGGGTAGAGGGTGTATGTCATTTACAGTGAAAGAAAAGAGCTAAAGCTAATAGATTACAATGTTTATGCTTACTTTGCATTAAAAAAATCCACTCTCAATTTCAGATAAATATGCTGAATGTTTGAATGAAGCACTCTCCTCGCTGGAAATGAAAGAATATTTAGAAAAAAAGAGCAGTTGGGGCCCTGTAGAGGATTTGAGAAGTGTCAGGTCCCATTATTATGCTTAGGGTTTGCTGTCACCATGAGATTCTTCGGCAGAGTTATCTCTTCAATTTAATAAAAATTATGTGACTACACCCGTCTATGCTCTTACACTACATTAACCAAGATGCTATGTTTCTGAAGGAAGTTGCTTTCCCTGTTCCTGCTTAATCAGCCACCAAGCTGAGCAACTCTAATCAAATGCAAACACCCGAAGCTTTTATTTTTTTAATACCACATGAGAATACACATCACAATTGTCAGATCTCAAGTGCTTGATGCAGTAGCTAAAAAAAATAAAATCTCAAATACCTCAATTCCTGCCTCTGGAGAGGAAAAGAACATGAATACATTACAGGCACTGCATGGGCTGAGGAAATGTAAACATTGTTCCTATTATGGAAACGAGAGCAAGACAGAAAATGTACCTTCTCTGTCTCTGGAGACACATTTTTCATCTACTAAATCAAGTCTTTCTGGAATATGTTTAATGCATTTTACTGGCAGGTATCAGTGGCACAGAATTAGAATGAAATGAAATAAAAATCTCTACCCCTTTCCAAACCCACAACATGCAACCCTTAAACTTCAGCTGAAATTTTTTTTTTTTAAATGTCACAGTTGAGACCTTGAAGAAATGCAGCTTTGTCAGATGGCCAGGTGGGGGTGAGGGGTGATTTCTTGCTCAAGTATTTGATAACTGTAGTGATGGTTTCAAAACCCTGAAGCCTCCTGCGTGAAGATGACACTCCTTTCTTTCCAGAGAACCTTCTCCCCTTGCCCTCACTTGTGACATCACATGTGGTTGCTGTGGAAATGACTGTCCTGTGACAAAGGATTGTGACCTCAGGTGGGAATCAATAGAAGCAGCAAATCTCTCTTAAGAAAAAGGATTCTGTGATTAAACAAATACCCTTGGAGATGAGGGAGATGAAGGGCGGTTGCCCTAAGGAAAGAGTTTTAGAAGGGAAGATATTGAAAAATTTCTAAATGTGACACTTGCCAAATCTTTCAGATTTACCTTCATGTGATTTTAAGGGGTGGAATCAGAGAAGCAAAAAATGATTGGCTATAACTCACACCTTTTATGTGTGGAATTCCCCAAACAATGAAGCACCTTGCATTCAAATATGTTTTAATACTAGTCAAGCAAGAGAATGTGCTAATGAAAAATTTCTTCATAAAATTTGCATTTCCTTGTTGTTATGCTAAAATAGCAACAGATTTTCCTTTCATTCTGATTGTGTATAGGGTTCTATTGAACATCGTTCTTAAACACCTACACATAATTGCTCAAAAATGTACACCTGTGAACAAAATGGGCTTAATTTTCCTCATTGACTTGGTGATTTCAGTGGGGTCTAACATAGGCTAGCTAAGTACCCACATTGGTAGTGGGTAATAAGTAAAATTTTTTGGTAATAGGTAATTCATGGAGCCCCTTCAGGCGATCATATTTAGGGGCTAGGGAGCTGTGTAGTTTAATAGGAAGCTATTGACAATGGGCTTTAACAGTGTACAGTCTGAATTGACCTCTTAGTTTAAGATGAACATGGAAAAAGTAAGGTTAAAGTCCAGCCTTGACTCCTGTTTAACCTTACTTGTTCCTAGCCTCCCTCAATCACCAGAGGAAATGTGTTTTCTTTCATTATCAAGAGTTCGTGATCAGCAAGAGGACTCTAACCTGGACTCTCACCTGTCTGTGGTATAATATGTTAGGAATGGCATGTGGGTTCCTAATATAATCATTGGAATAAGAATAGCCTGAGGAAATAATGATCTTTATTCTTGAGATCTACAGAACAAAAAGCATCCCCAGAGTAGGTGATTAGGATCAGTTGTGCTTAATTTGGCCACAAACCTCCACCTCTGTCAAGATGGACTTTAACATTAGAATGTTCTACGTCTTCCAATGGTTAGCTTGTCATAACAAAGTTCTGGTGTCTAACCACAGCCTTGCTGATGGACTGGCTTCCGGCATGGGAGTGAGCAGTGCAAGCCTTTTGCACAGTAATAAGGTTAGAACTATTCATTTATTTCATTGGGAAAACTACACAATTTTCAAATTTATACATTGCTTCCTAACCTTACTTTTAACTCTTTTTTTGTGTCTGAAGATTATTAGCTCAGACTCATGGAAACTACTTGCTCTTTCACTGAGAAAGATTTTTTTTTTTTTTTTAATGGATGACATTTGAGTTCAG